GGAATGATCTGATGAACTACAGGTTTATATCTTTGCCAGGTGCTTAATTGCCTGCAGGAAGATGGTGCTTTTGAAGTGTATTTTGTATTCACTCTTCATATGATTGAGGTTATTAGTACTGGGGATTATTTATTTACTCAGTATTACCAACTAGAAAGCTGAGGCCCAGGAAGTCTGGGAGCCTTACCTAAAGTCACACAAGGCCAGGAGCAGAGCTAATCTCTTACATTTCCCCATAGGGCATGTGTTTACTCAAAAGGTGCTCATTATTTTAAGGTCAAAATGAGAGAATGAGAGAGTTAGAGTGAGGGAGAGAAAGAGTGAGAGAGAGGGGGAGTGAGAGAGACAGAGAGAAAAAGTGTTCTCAGCAGGAATTGTAATCCTCTATGTATAGAAAACTTTACTTGTCACTGTAAATACCTACCCAAATTAATGTTGTATTTGGGAACTTCCCAGAATGAATGAAGGTGCCTTTCAGTTAATGACTAGAGCTTGGTCCTAGTGTAGAAATATATTAATTGCCATTCAAAATCACTTTAAAAAGATGAATATCTGAGATGCAAATATAAGATTGTCTTAAGCACAGTTTGTTTACAATAAGCCAATTATAATTTGCCTGGGAAACTTTCAAGCATTGAGAAATTGGCCATGTTTCATGTTTGGTGAGAGGCAGAAAATGTCAGAGTGGTTTAACTACTTTCATCTATAGTCAGAGGCTTTAGCCATATTCAGCTGGAAGGGATCTGAGAGAGCATCTGCTGGGATGATCTTCTCCCTTTGAGGAGCCTAAATTCTTGGAACCCTGAGGCAGGGCAGAGGGACCCACTGAGGATGCAGATCATTTAATCAGAGTCACTCTATTTTTACCACATCTGGGCCTCTGTTACTCAGAAAACAAACTCAAACTCTCACCAATACATAATATTTTATATCTTTTTTTTTTTACAGCACAAGCTTTATAAACAACAGAACACATTTTTCCATATTGTAAATATTTTATATCTTGATAGGAGTTTGGGTACATGCATTTATTAAAACAAAGTGAATATACACTTAAGATTTGTGTGTTTTATTATATTTGCATTTAATGTAAAAAAATAAACAATTACTGAACTCTGTTGTAACATGCCACAGAACTTAGGGGGAGGTGTGCTGATGTCTGTGATGTACTTGGAAATCCACCAAAAATAAGGTGGGTTGATGGATGGATACACAGTGAAGCAAGGACAGTAATATGTTAATGGTAGAATGTAGACAGAGGGTATATGGGTGCTTATTGTATGATTCTTTCAACTTGGCTCTATGTTTAAAGTTTTTCTTAATAAGTTATTTTGTGGAAAACTCACAAACATGTTTTACCTCTCCCATTTTTGTAAATGAAGAAAGTGAGAGTCAGAATAAAATTAAGACATTGGCAGAGCAAGGACTAGAACCAAAATCTTCAAAGAACTGGTTCTGCTTCTTACCTTTACATTCAAATTTGAACATTTGCTCCAAGATTTCTTTACCTAAATGGCAGAAAAATCATGAGTAATGTCAAATATGGGGGGAGGAAGGCATTCTACAGGATTATCACCTCCTCCCCCCTTTTTTGGTTTATTTTCATGCTGGTAGCATTGAGGCAGTTTTTGTGCTTCTCCTAGTTCAGTGATGGCGAACCTTTTGAGCTCGGCATGTCAGCATTTTGAAAAACCCTAACTTAACTCTGGTGCCGTGTCACATATAGACATTTTTTGATATTTGCAACCATAGTAAAACAAAGACTTATATTTTTGATATTTATTTTATATGTTTAAATGCCATTTAACAAAGAAAAATCAACCAAAAAAATGAGTTCACGTGTCACCTCTGACACGCGTGTCATAGGTTCGCCATCACTGTGACCTAGTTCAATATGTTAGAACCAATTGTGAACTTATATACATATTTTATGGTATTTCTGAGCCAACTTTCCATTCTGTTTTCCACTCACATATAAAAATGCATATGGTACTTCTTGATCAGTATATTCCTCTGAAAGAATGTAAGTGAAGGTAAAGGTGGGAAAAAAACAACACACGAAAAACTGGTTTTGCTTCTACTGTTTGGTATGTCATAACGAAGGACTATCTAAAAATGACTTATTTACTCTTATGCCCTTCTAGAACATTTAGACAGTAGGGATTTCTGGAGTCAAGACTGCCTGAAGTTTAAATTCCATTTGTGATATTTCTAAGTGTGAAACTTGGGGAAGTTACTTGCATTCTCTGAGCCTTTTTCCTTGGGTATAAAATGGGGATAATAGTATTCTACAGATAAAGGCAGTTGTGACACTTTTATTAGTGGTAACCTCAGGGTTTGCTAGTGAAGGACTTACGTGTAACATTTTATATGTATATTTTGTTTCATTTATTGTACTTTTTATTTATAGCTGACATCTACTTTCACAAGGGACTGAGCTCCTGGATATTTATAGGATTCACATCTTCACTTGTCCTGTCAATAAAGCACACGCACTCTAATTCTTACGTGGTTTGCACAAAAGCATGAGTCATCTGGAAAGCACATTTTAGTTAAGATTGGGTTTATTTATTTCTTAACTCTGTCGTCCTTGAAAAGACTCTTGCTTTCTCAGATTTTAGTTGTCGAGTAACACTCCCTCCACGTTCTGCGTGAAGTAGTGTTCGGTATCTGAAAGAGAGCCGCACAACAAATGAGAGAGAAATGACACAAGATAATTTTGCAATATTGGGGGACCAGGCGGGCAAGTCCGGAAGGACTTCCACCCATGCTCAGGCTGCTCCAATCTTTTATTGATCTGGAGTAGCCCTTAGGGTAAGGAGGTTTCAATGACACACAGATCAGCAGACAATTTCCAGGAGTAGACAAAGTATCTGATTAGCTCATCAGTAGATGATTTCCAGGAATAGGCAGAGTATCTGATCAACAATAATCAACAAGGATCTACATAAGTATCTAAGGAATTAAGGGAACTAAGGTGGGGATGATGCTTCAACTATTATTACCTAAATTAACTGGGTGGTTACTAGATTAACTGGGTGGTGCACGTTCTGACCTTTGCTAGGACTTCAAAGGTTACTAGCTTTTGGGGGTCTGTCTAAACTCAGCTAGTGAAGACAATGAATGGACTCCGGCATTAGTGTTGATCACTGCTTTTCAGTTTCCTCCCTAGAATTCCAAAATGTAAGAACTGGAGAATTGGAGATTTGTACAGCTCAAGAATAAGAAATGTAGAATTCTAAAAGAGTAAAAAAAAATTAAAGTTTAGTCATTAGTGTAACTTTTAAAAAAATTGCAATATAAAGATGCCACTCTTTCATATTAAGTGGATCAAGATATTGGTGTTAATTATAGGCACAGTTTCAGACTGATGAAAATGCTAACTAGAAAGTTATTGGATAAGTTTATGTTATCCACCTCAGCATGCATATACATATGAGAAAATAGTGTATCATTTGAAGGAGAAAAAATTATTTCAAGGTTATATTTACTATAGTTCAGTAGTTGTGTAAAGCTTTCTTTGTCTATCATTTGTAATCTTTTTTTTGAATAATGTGATATTTAATAGTTTCCAAGAGTGATGAAATGATTTTATGGTACAGAATTATCAAATTTGGGGGGTAGGGGGGCGGCTGGGAGGAAACTTTGAAATCATCTGGAATTCTAGATTCCTGGTTTTTAATCCTTATTTCAGGAAATTAAAAAAATACTAATGTTTAGTCATATTCCAGATGTATTAAATTAGAATCTCTGTGAATGGGGCCCGAATAGTCTTAGTTTTCAAAACCTTCCATGATGTCAACGTCAGGATCATCCGCCTGTTTTTTTGTTTGTTTTTTTGGCTAACATTCAGAAAGGAAACACAGAATTGCTCTAGATTTTGGTGAAGTCACAGAGCTATTTACCTTCAAAATTGAAACCGAATCTTGGTCTCCTATTAAACCAGTGGTTTCACTCCCACACTGCTTTCCTTTGGTTAGTCCAGATTGTGTTCTTTTATTGAGTTTATGTGGCTCCAAAAATCCTTGGGGTAGACTGCTTGTGTGTAGTCAGGCCTTGTTTTGGTGGATGAGCCTGAGGAATATCATACGTTTGTATTTCCTGAAACACTGGGGAGTGCGTAAAGATGTTGGCACAGCCCCTATGTTCCTGAGCTGGACTGGTGGAGCTGGCCCCTAAATAATAGAGCCTTCTGTGAGCACGAGGAAGTCCAGTGACACTTCTAAGTGGTTACTCTCAGTTTTATGCACTATGTATTAATTAAATTATATTCCACATTATTCAGTAATAATAGAATGTATGTATAGTAGGCTAGTTTTAGTTATGGGACATATATTAAGTTTATTTTAAAGATATTAGATCGGTGGTCGGCAAACTCATTAGTCAACAGAGCCAAATATCAACAGTACAACGATTGAAATTTCTTTTGAGAGCCAAATTTTTTAAACTTAAACTATATAGGTAGGTACATTGTTATTAACTTAATTAGGGTACTCCTAAGGCTTAGGAAGAGCCACACTCAAGGGGACAAAGAGCCGCATGTGGCTCGCGAGCCGTAGCTTGCCGACCACGGTATTAGACTAACAATAAATATTCTGTATTAAAGGTCATTTAAAATGATTTTATAATATTAATTCTTATGATTTTGTTCTTATTTGTAAACAACAATATAATTTATATACTATCCACCACTAATTGGGTTTCTGTGTATGTCAGAATTTTTAAAAATAGGGAGTTGCAATATTGTCATGCCATTAAAGCTAATGTCCAAGTGAATGGCAATATGGAAAAAATGTGTTTATAACCCTTCTATGATACTGTATATTCTTTGGATAAATGCAGTTTATTCTAGGTTTTCATCACCATTTCTTGCTGTGGTGGGACAGTGTTATAAATCTCAAATGGCATGTGGCCAAGCCTGGATCAGTGTTAGGCCTTGAGGGCCTTGTTGAACACACTCACTCTGGGATCCTACTGTGCTTCTTTACTTCCAGACTGACCACTGCTCTAAGCAGGGCTGGGGCCTTGCCTGGGCTGCCCGAGCCCTTGAAGGTCAAGAAGAAGCACCTGGACTTCTCATGATGGGAGGTCAGAGTCAATGTAAGTGACTTCCTAATTTGCGGGGGCTACATCCCTTCAGTGATTCCGATCTGTATGAAGTCAGCATATAAATGATTATTTCCAGTGTCTGTTTTATGTCATCGTCATACCCCAACATAATGCCATTTGGCCTAAAATGAAACGTTAGAAGTATTGCTCAGGTAATAAATTCTTATATATCTTTGGTGAAAAACATAGTACAAAAATATGATGCATTCACTTTTTTTTTTGTTTCCTTAGGATTACCCATAGATATTTTTAATTCTGTGAAAATACTACTTTGAGGAACTTGGAGTTACTTTGAAACTTTGTGTCAAGTGTAGCTCAGTGAAAACTTAGAATGTTTAATTTAAAAAAAATTTTGGACTTTAAAGCTGCACATAAATGGACTCATAAATGCATAAGTGGGAAAAGCTGCAAAATTTGAGAATAGTTTTAATTTTGACATATTTGAGCATTGTTGTTAAACACTGTTGCTCAGTACAGATTTCTTTATTTTCAATGTTACTTCCTGAATTCCCAATCATGTAATAATTTCCAAGGTAACAACTTAGTAAGCTGTTACAGAAAATACTTGGTATATGTTCAAATGGATAATAGAAATAGTAGAAATAATGTTTGTTTGTGATAAATTACAGGAGACTAGGGTTGGATTTTTCCTTTAGGGCAGAATAATGAGGTTATAATAAACAAAGATAAGAGGAGAAAATAACAATAGAATAGAAAATATTAAAATAATATCGTTTTATTGTCATCAATTCCTGAGGATCTAAATCTCTTTTTGAATTGTTTTCTGTGCAGTTTATAAGTTATAAGATAATGGCATTTAAAGACGAGAAGAAAATTTCTCATGTACAGTTAACTCCTGTGTAAAATTATAGTGCTTCACTATATAGAAGGGAAAACAAAATTCTGCAGTAAACAAAGATTCAAATTCATTTATATTTTTTTTTATCTAGTGGCTTGGATCTAACTCTAATAAGCATGTCTGAACTGATGTCATACAAATGAATGTTTTACGTAATGCTAATTTCCTTAATTGAATTCATCCTATAAAGTATTCAGACAGAGAGTCCTGGAAGAGCATGGAAAAAGAGAAAAAGGCCCCAGGTATAGCTGAAGTTCCCATCCCCACATCACTTAAGTGTCATGTACGTTCTGTGAGCACCAGCTCTGACTCCCTGTTCTGCCTGCCTTCCTATGATGTTGTGAAAACCACATGGGATCATACATGTGAAAGTACTTTGTTAACTGCAACAAGCTGTAGAAAATTTGTTAACCTTTTGGGTGCAACACTTGGAACAAAACGTTTAAAATAATTTGTGTATTTTATTCAGCAAGTTCAGAGAAGGTTGTCTTCTTTATATGTAATTTACATTTTTAAAAAGAGCAAGAAACAAAATCATTAATATAGAGTGGGCTGAAATACATGGAATAACAACGTAAATGTTTGGGAAAAGCAGCTTTAGTTACCATGGCCTAGCCTGGGATTTTCATTAGCTTCCTTTCTCTCTCTCCTCCGCCGCCCTCTCTCTAACTTCTCCCACTTCTGCCTCTCCCTCTCTCCATTCTGTCCCCCCACCCACTTACTCTCCAAGGTTGGTTGGACTTTCTTGCCTGTTTCCTGACCTTGCGTTTTATACCTTGTGGGCCTCCTTCTTGACGGGTGTTATATCACTTAGACATCTGGCCGGTTTTGTATGAGTTTTTTGACATCTTCCCCTTGATGTTTTGTAGTAAGACAGGGAGAAGTTCTAAGCTGCTGGGCCAGAAAAAGGAGCGTAGTCTTTGGTCCCCAGTGAGTCATGAAAGCACAGGTAGTGTTGACAGGTGTGCATAGCGCACTTCAGCTGAGACTGTTCCTTGGTTTGAAACGCTTTAGTTAGACCTGTCACTACCATTTTCAGTTAAAAATGATTTTCAAGAAAAAAATAACAAAAACCCCACAAGACATGTTTAGAATGAAAACTCGGAGAAAAGCAGAAACAGAAAAGTAATGCATAAAACGGCAAGTAAGCAGAGTTTGAGAAAAAATACATAGAATCCTGCATTGCAAAGGTGAATTTTTATGTGGGACATGTGAGGAAGGCTGTTGGATGAGAGAGAAAGAACAAAGAGAACTCATTTACCAGGGTTTCTCTGGCTTGTCAGGGCTGTTTTCTGAAAAGCTGCCTTGGGGGGGGGGGGGGGCGTGGGTTGGGGTTGGGGTTGGGGGGGGGCTCTGGAATCCCGGGGAGCAGTGCACACCAGATGCCCTATGCCAACCAAGAACATTGCAAAGGGAGAAAAAGGGCCAAAAATGAATGGGTAAAAGGAGGTAAGGACCTCATTTATCTTGGCACTCATAGTTTAAACACAAACTAAAGAGGAGTATCTGTTTTGAAACTATTTAAACTTATTAGCATGAAATACTTGCTGTGATTCTGTGTTATTGGTTGTTTTTGTAACATGTAGTTGAAAGAGTGGATAAGAAAGCTCAGTATTTGCTGAACACTGTTTACCATTCTGCAATTACCCCAAGGCAGAAAACTGGAGTTGCTTTTTCTCCCTTTTCCCTCTCCTTCATTTCTTTATTATAACCATCCTTTCCCTTCCGTGCCTTTCTTTCCATGTCTCTTTCTTCTTCCTTTCCTTCCTCATTCTCCATTCTCCTGCCCCTAGACCAGCGGTTCTCCACCTGTGGGTCGCAACCCCTTTGGCGGCCGAACGACCCTTTCACGGGGGTCGCCTAAGACCATCCTGCATATCAGATATTTACATTACGATTCATAACAGTAGCAACATTACAGTTATGAAGTAGCAACAAAAATAATTTTATGGTTGGGTCACAACATGAGGAACTGTATTTAAAGGGCCAGAAGGTTGAGAGCCACTGCCCTAGATTTTAGAATGACTTCCTTAGACTTACAAGCCCTAACTTGACAATGGGACATCTCAGCAGGGTTCTCCTCCAACATATCAATCCTGAGTAATACCAATTCAAAAGAGACTCACATGCCATCTTGAATTTTCAAAAATTCCTTGCTGCCTAAAGAAGCTGATATTGATAAAAACATAAAAGTTTAAAAACAGAGCATTACTTCAGCAATTTAGGCTGTGTGTTGGCATTGTCTTATAATTTTCAGAATTTATGTTTATGTAAAAGCTGCGAAGTTTGGAACCTGTTCTTTAGATGGAGGCCACTCTTCTCGGAGGGTCAGGCACTGGTGCCAGCCCAGGATTGGAGAGGGTTGGCCTCTGCTCACCAGAGGTTCCTCCCTTTGCCTGGGCTGCCATGTGTGAGAGAGTGATCGCAGAGCTGCTGTAGTGTACCTCTGTCTCTCAGGCAGGGATATCAGTAACTAGTTTGTACATGTCTTTGGAAAAATTGCAAAAAGCTACCCCCACTGAACAGAAGAATGGCAACAGGCACGTTTCCTTTCCGGTGTGGCTCAGCACTGAGACCGGCCTGGGTCTGGGCCCTCGTTTGCCACCGGGAACTGTTGCACAGGTATAAACAGTACAATCTTATGCAGTAGTCCTGCCTCCAAGCCATAGGGCAACGGAAAAATGGGAAATTTCCCTAAAAATGACGATGCTTTGGAATTAGCAGGTTATCACCATTTCATCTGTCAGTTTTCAAAGTGTTAAGCAACTTATTATTTAAAGTATTATATACATAAAGTGCTTATTTTAAGTAGGCACATGGTATGAATTATTTGAAAAGTGAAATATAAGATTTGTTTCTATGCTATTTAATGAGGCGTTGGGGTAGGGAAATAAGGCAAATTAAATGAAAGATTAAATTGTGAATACTCTCATGGGTCAAAGAGTTGGTGGCAGTAATTATGATTCCCAGCCTTGGTAGCATTCCAGATTCTCTGATAGCTTAGGAACTTTAGGAACATACGGATTGCAATAAAAGTAAAATATCAAACGTGTGTGTCTGTGTGTGTGTGTGTGTGTGTGTGTGTGTAGATCTATCGTCTATCTGTCATCTATATATTTTTAAAATATTAATTCACATTTTAAGACTTTACTGAGGAGCTAAGAAGCAGGATGGGAAACATTTCTGGTTGGAAACTTCATACTCAAAAGCTGTGATATTCCTCTTAGCTGCATTTAAAAATATGAGTAACTATATTAAAACCCCAAAAGAATGAAGTTTGGATATAATGTGGTAGGTAATTTCCTTTTATCCTCCGGCTAAAGTTCTTATCTCATGGGGCCAGGAAGACCATCGGGGAGGGTGATGTGGGGTGGGAAGCAGGAGGTGGCTCCGTCTCAGGAGATGGAAGGCAGAAGGGCGAGTCTTGAGCATCCTTTGGTCCTATTTGCACCATCCAGTGATGAAATCACCTGAGTTTCAGGGATCCCTACTGCTGTTCTGGACATGGCAGCTGGCATTAGTGCCATGTATTGTTTTCATTGGTATTTAAGCCAGAGTGGACAGCTGCCACCCAGTGGTGCCATGCCAAAGCCAGCTAGCTGTCCTGGGCAACTCTGTTGTTTTATTAACTTTGCAGTAATGGAACCTCATTGTTTACACACTTGAACAACTATAGTTTTGAACTCTACCTATTAAGTCATGATAAGGTTTTATTGCAGTAGATGAATAGTGTATGCTATGTTTATGTTATACATTTTTAAAAAAACAAGCCCAGCGTCCTTATCAAAACTAAAAAGTAGTAGCTCTAGTGGTTTCTTATTCATATATGATATTACAGTTTTGAAATATGAACTGATGTTATTTTACTTACTTAGAAACTAGAACAGAACTCTAAATACTGGAACTAACTTTAAGAATTAAAAAAAATGCAAGTATATACAAATTTCAATTAGAAACTTTTACATACCATAAAAAGGCCATGGTTTTGTAAAATACTCTATATACTAAAATCAAGTGAAGGGCATTTGCTTACTCTTTTATTAATTTCTGTTTTCTTAGACTGTTTTATAGGAATATTAAATTATGTTTGATACGGAGGAGGGACCTTTATGCAAGTTTAAAGTAAAACTAC